CCGACTTACCAGATTTATTTAAAAATCTTAGTAACCAGCAATGAAGAGAACCTCAAAATTCTTAATGGATATGTTAAGTCCAATTACCTAAACTGATAAACCCTGTGAAGCTGCCTTGTTAGCAAAAGTAGCAACTTCCTCCCAGTCTGATGAAGCAGGTTCTGCCTTCTGTAAGGACCACACTGAAGGTGATGGTCTTGCCTAAGACAGTCACTTTGTAGAAAGAGCCCAGTTCTCCATGCCTCACCCTTCATACAGGAAAGATCTCAAAACTGGGGTTTACTGAAGGCCAAGTGGGTTCTTCACTTTGTGCAAGAAAGAATTAAAGAGTCAACAGAGTAAAGCAAAAGCAAGATTGAGGTAGAAAGAAAAGGTCGCTGCCCCATAGACGGAGCAGCATCGTGTGCTGCTGGTGGCCTATTTTTGTGGTTATTTTTTGGCTGCATGTTAAAGGGAGAGGTGTAGAGAGCCTCCCAGGACCAGGGGTCTCTCTTCCATTTAAACCATGTAGGGCAGTTGCCATGGCATTTGTAAATTGTCATGGTACTGGTTTCTTTTCGTCTGCTCCTGTATTATAACTAGCTTACAATGAGCAGTGATGGTAATCTGAGGTCAAACCAGTTTGTCTGCTGTTTCCCATTTTATCAGAGACATTGGTGCAGGGCTATGACTCTTTTTTGAATAAGACCTGCTGGTTCCCTATTTCACCATCATGTACGGTTACATGATTTGTGGGACTCCAGTGCAAAATGACAATTTCAGGCCCCTTTTTAACAGAGTATTAAAGTGTGGGACCCTTGCAAGGATGAAGCTGTGTGTGGCTGCACTGGTTGTAGGGCCCCTGAAATTGACCTTGCCCACTCTACCATCCATCTTTACCTCTGGCCTATAATTAGAGTACTTACACATAGAGAAATCTCACCAAGTCACGCTCTGAAGATTGCTTACACTCCAAAATAATTTCAGGATTTTGCTAATTTGTATTGGTTAAAGCCTAGGGATTATGTGGCAGGAATGGATATTTAGTGTCTCTCTTAATTTAGAGAGGGGGAGACCTAATTTTAGATTGCACAGAATTTACTTATAAGGGTACATTTCATAGAGCTTCTGGACTCATTATGCTAGTTAACTCAAGCAGTTGAAAGTGGCTTTAAATGTTTGCTCAGTTACTTGAAATATGGATTCATTGGTACCCTAGGCTGAATTAAAATGAGACACCAGAAACTGCAGGGAGACATGAAGGTTCAAATTGCAACTGACTTACCTAGTTTCTAACATGGCACCTGAGACCTGGAACACATTTACTTCAAAAAAGTTTCAAGTGTTGGATCAAGTGCAGTGACTCACACCTCTCAGAACTCTGGGAGGCCAAGGCCAGAGGACCAGTTTAGGCCAAGAGTTTGAGACCAGCT